TGAAACATCGATCAGCTGCCTCCTGCACACCTCCCACTGGGGATGTGTCTGCAACCAAGGCACATGGCCCTGACTGGAATCGAACCTGGGACCTCTCAGTCCACAGGCCGACGCTCTATCCACTGAGCCAAACCGGTTAGGCCGAAAGCCATTATTTAAGGTCCTGCAGATGTCTTAGCAAAACACATCTGACTTATGGGCTGTATGATAATTCATTATACTAAATAAACTATTGCAAAATTTTTCTTTAAGGCTTCCAGACAAGCTGCAGGAATTCCAGGGATTACTCCAACAGATGAAAAGTGAGTAATTACTTTTTTGGAATTAAGTAGAGTCAATTCTTAATTTTTGGTATGGAGACTAAGTCAAATTTTTAGATTACTAGCTCATTTAATTCCTTTATTTACTCTTTTTTTAAAATCCTCACCTGAGGATATTTTTTTTTGACATTGATTTTTTGTAGAGAGAGTGGAAGGGAGGGAGAAGGGGGGGAGAGAGAGAGGAATATCGATGTGTATCATTGGCTGCATGTTGATTGGTTGCCTCATGCACGAGCCCCAACAGGCTGGGGATCGAACCTGCAACCAAGATAATTGCCCTTGACCTGGAATCGAACCTGAGACCCTTTGGTCTGCAGGCTGATGTTCTAACCACTGGGAAAACCAGCCAGGGCTCCTTTATTTACCTTTAACTTACCTCTTAGCATACAACCTAAATTTCATTAAGAACAGAAAGGAGGGCTGTATAAATAAAAACCTTCAATTTCTTTCATTTCCCCTTAATTAGAGAAAGTTGACAATAGAAAGACAGGACTAAGATAGAATGATGAAAAATTGCCATAGCTAGTCTGATGTTTTTCATCAGTCTCTGATGATGTTCATTGCTGTCTCAGAATGAGGTGCTGCAAAATTTTTTTGCCAGTTTATAAATCAGATGTTTCTTATTTGGTTTGAAGTATTATGAACTCTAAAAATATCAGACAAATCTATGTCTAAATATATCTTTAGAAAGGAAGAAGTCAAATATAATTGAGTTTTGGGTTTTGCAGTAATTGAATTTCTTATACCTTTGGTTTCATCTCTTGACACAGTTATTTTTCTGATTCTTCCAAGTTAATTTGATTATTTTGTTCAATGTTGCTCTTTTCTCAGAGATGGTAATCTTCCAGATATTGTGAACAGTGGAAGTTTGCATGAGTTCCTGGTAAATTTGCATGAGAGATATGGGCCTGTGGTCTCCTTCTGGTTTGGCAGGCGCCCTGTGGTTAGCTTGGGCACTGTCAATGTGCTGAAGCAGCATATCAACCCCAATAAGACATGTAAGTTTAGTTTTCTTTCTAATTAGCTGATCCTTATCTTTTAAGAATAATTGTCTTTAAATAAAGAGCTATACATTGTTTTTGAATAGGAATAGCTAACATTTGTTGAATGCTTTAATACTATGGGCCAAGCATTGTGCTGAAGTTTTTATATTTATTACCTGATTTAAGACACAATATTATAAAATGATTATTTTTTCACACACATATATATTAATTATATGTTTCTCTATATAAATCCTATATAATAAAAGCCTAATATGGTAAGTGTCCGGTTGTCCATTCAACCAATCAAAGCGTAATATGCTAAGGCCGCCCAACCGCTCACTATGATGTGCACTGACCACCAGGGAGCAGTAATTTGACCGGTCGACCAGTCGCTATGATGTGCACTGACCACCAGGGGGCAGATGCTCTGACTGGTAGGTTAGCTTGCTGCTGGGGTCCAGCTAGTTGGGACTGAGGGTGATGGGCTGGACAAGCCCTGGAGCCCTCCCGTGGTCTCTCCCCAGCTGGCCAACCTCCCACATCCCTCCCTGGCCCTGATGGTGCACTGGTGAGGTCCCTTGGCCTGGCCTGCACCCTCTTGCAATCCGGGACTCCTCAGGATATCAGAGAGCTGGTTTCAGCCCGATCCTGCTCAACGCAGGAGCTGCCCCCTGGTTGTCAGTGCACTCCCACAAGGGGGAGCGCTGCTTAGGTAGAAGCTGGGCTTGTGGCTGGCAAGTGCAGCAGCGTTGGCGGGAGCCCCTCCTGCCTTCCTGGCAGCACTAAGGATGTCTCACTGCTGCCGTCAGTCAGACATCCCCTGAGGGCTCCCAGACAGCGAGAGGGCGCAGGCCGGGCTGAGGGCCCCCCTCCAAGTGCACAAATTTTATGCACTGGACCTCTAGTACATATATAATTAAATCCCAATGTAAATTTTTGGGGAAACCTCAAAAAATAGTTCCAGGGTACATCTGGAAGAATGGATGTACATGAGCAGCCAAGAAAAATCTAGAAAAGAACATTAATGAGGGGAATACCTCTACCATCAGACAGAACAGTGTATCATATAGCTAGATTAATTTAAAGAATCTTGTACTGTGATAGGACTAGACCAGCCGTGGGCAAACTACGGCCCGCGGGCCGGATCCAGCCCATTTGAAATGAATAAAACTAAAAAAAAAAAAAGACCGTACCCTTTTATGTAATGATGTTTACTTTGAATTTGTATTAGTTCACACAAACACTCCATCCATGCTTTTGTTCTGGCCCTCCGGTCCAGTTTAAGAACCCATTGTGGCCCTCGAGTCAAAAAGTTTGCCCACCCCTGCAACCCCTGAGAACACCAGCTAGGGCATGAGGCTTTTTTTTTTTTAGAAGTCAAAGATATTGTTGTCATGTAGGTAGAAAGTGTATGCACGTATTAATGGTTTATGGTGGGATTCCCAGTCAGGATATTGTACTTATTCTTGACAATTTTCATTGCCTCTTAATGGAGTTGTGGGGAAAAAAAGTTGCCATGCTTTCAGTTTCAATCCCATAATTCCCTGATCTCTATGTCCTTTTGCTGGAAGTTTTGTTGTTGTTGTTGTTTGAGTGATTACTTTGACTTTGAAATGTTTAATTTGTCTGTTTCAGTGGACCCTTTTGAAACCATGCTAAAGTCATTGTTAAGGTATCAATCTGGTGGTGGGAATGTGAGTGAAAACTACACAAGAAAAAAATTGCATGAAAATGGTGTGACTGATTCTCTGCAGAGTAATTTTGCTCTCCTGCTAAAGGTAAGGTGATAAGTAGTTTGGCCTGGAGTTCTGCAATTCAGATAACATATTTTTTAACTGTTGTGTGTCTTTTTCTTGCTACTTTTTTCTTGTCTTTCTAAGCTGATCTTTATTGTCCTGAAATTCTAAAACAAAACAAACAAAAACAAAACAAAAACCTTAACACCCAGACTCCCTATATAAATGGAAATTATGGGAGTGGAGAGAACCTGAAATTTTTTTCTATATCAATAGATTTGTCCTTTGTTTTCAGGCCAGACTTTGAACCTGAAACATGTTTCCTAAAACATGGTCTGCGTTTACCTGAAACTCTCTCTTGTTAAATATGTAGATTACTTGGAATCTACTTGGATGAATTGAATCACTGGGAAGGGATCTGACATTTTGGGGGAGGGGTGGATCTGACATTTTTAAGGAGCTCCACAAATGATTTACAGAGTGTGAAAATAATACTTATTAATACCATTTCCTTTTTGTCTGTAAAAGGAACCCTGTGTGCTTTTTGTTAGTTCTCTGTGTCCTCATAGGATTGTTCCAAACCTTCACCCTTAAAGTAGTATTGCTAGTCCTACCCACCCTTTTTGTTTGCTATGGATGTCCTTGCCTCCTGCTTTGCTGAGACAATAGAGCCCCTTTCATGTGACTGAAGAGTACTGCTGTCTATACCAGTGGTTTTCTTTAAGAGAATAGCTGCTTACCTAGAGTTATCACCCCGAATTAAGTTGTGTATTTCATATTGACTTACTACACCTTTTTGCCTTTATTTTTTGGAGGGGGGCGGTCCAGATCTGAGTTCTTTCTGACTCTTCTCTCATCTTCACAAACCTCATCCCGTGTGTTCTGACTCCTTCCTGCCCTGACTGTCTCTGCTCCAAGGCTGAGTGTAAACCTCCACTTTAATTCTGTGAGTGTAACTTCTCTCTTCTGTGTGCTTTAATCTAATATTATGCTGTGACTTTGAGTCTAAATTTTGATTTAACAAGTACTTCTGGATTTTAGAATTTATGACTATCCTTTTAATTGACAGCTTAGTAATATTAATAGCCAAAATTATTGAGTTCATTGGTTCAATAGCTTCATGAGCTCATTTAATCCTCATAAGAACTTTATAGGTATGTATTGTTATTTCTCTCTTTTTACATGAAGAAACGGAAGCACAGAGTGGTTAAGTTACTTGTCCAAGGACATAGAGCTAGTAAACAGTAGGACTAGGATTTGATCCCAGTCAGTCTGGCACATTGCTGCTCTATAGGTTGATTCTGCTACCCTGGAATGTGGTTTTGCTTGGCTAGTGATTTTTTTTCTTCTTTTTAAAAACCTTTTTGAGTATTGCAGTCACAATAATATCTTAATGTAAGGTGGAATGAAAAAGAATTTGCTTTCTCTGAAATTCTAATATTTTTACAACAATTACTGATTAATTACCTAAGAACTTTTTTCAAAAAGAAAGTTTGTATTCTTTCAGAAAACTGATATATACTCTAAAATCTTATCTTTTGAATTGTAAGTCAGCTTCTAGGTAGACTTACTTGTTTTCTCTAATATAATTTTATGTTACTTGAAATTAATATGGTATTTTAACGTGAACATTCTGAAGAAGTAAGTTATTGTGTATCATGTGTCCTTATTCAGGATAAATGATAAGATTAATAGCATATATTTTTTTGATCTTTATAGTTTATGTATCATACATATGTAATTTATTTATCATATAAATATAGCTGGTAAAAGAATATTCCAGCATAAACACATTCTTGTTATTCAACCACATGGTAGTTTTTCATATAAATATACATATATCACACATGGAAAAATTAGAAAGGATATTTTAAAAAGAAGTCTATTATGAATGAAAGCATTTATCATAGATTTGGACATTTCTACCAATAATAAGTTAATATATAACACTGATCTGACTATCAAATGAAGCTCATCAACAGATTGTTAGAATTCCCACTAATATAAACTAGTCAAGATTCACATAATCCTCTAACAGAAGATCTAGATGTGTTTGCCTAGAGAAAAATCCTGTATGAGTCATTTATAGTATTTGCATTGATTTAGAGAATAAGGTGCAAAACAAGTGGATTAAGCCATAAGCAAGTCAAAATTCAGTTATGTGATGCAAGTGACAGTATTGGTAACAAGATTTTTATGGTCATAGCTATTTTTAATTAGATACTAAGAATTTAGCCTCTTAATTTCCATTAGCCTTAAGATTTTACCAGCCTTTGAACTTTTAAAATGTATATTTTGTTGTGGTGGTGGTGGTCCTGGTTCTGTTTTGTTTTGCAAACCAACCCTTTGACAGAATCTGAATCTGAACCACTGAGGATGTAATTTTAGGTGGAGCCAGTTAGCCTGACAAATCACTTGAAGGCTTATTCAAGGGGGGAACAATAAATCATGTGGGCTTCTGTTCTCTTTCAGCTTTCAGAAGAATTATTAAATAAATGGCTCTCCTACCCAGAGTCCCAGCACATACCCCTTTGCCAGCATATGCTTGGTTTTGCTATGAAGTCTGTTACACAGATGGTAATGGGTAGTACATTTGAAGATGACCAGGAAGTCATTCGCTTCCAGAAGAATCATGGCACAGTAAGTCCAGGACCAAATTTAAAATTATTCTCTCATCAAATTAGATAGTTAAATAATGTAGATTTTGCCTCTCAAGAATAAGGTTTAGCCCTAGCCAGTTTGGCTGAGTGAATAGAGCATCAGCCTGTGAAATGAAAGGTCCCAGGTTTGATTCTGGTCAAGGGCACATGCCCAGGTTGTGGGCTCAATCCCTAGTGGGGGGCTTGCAGGAAGCAGCCGATCAATGATTCTCTCTTATCATTTATGTTTCTATCTCTCTCTCTCCCTCTCCCTTCCTCTCTGAAATCAATAAAAATATATTTTTAAAAAAGAAAATGTTTAAGCTTCTGTAGTATAGAATTTCACTGTTCGGGATTAAAAACAACAATGTAAGCGAAGATAATTGTTGTCTCTTTAAAAAATTTAAGAATTACTTTTGAAATTTAAAAATTAGATAACTAAATAAATTTTCTTTTAATACCACGTATATTATGAAATAATACTGAATTCTAGAATGAAGAAAAAACTATATTTAATAGTACTAGACTATGTCCTATGTAGAAAGGAATTAAAGCTAATGAGCAAAAAAATGCTAATGGGATTAATATGATTTAAAGAAGGGCTAATTCAGTTTAAAATTGATTTACTAGTGCCCTTTCTAGATTCACATATGGAATTGATTTTTCTCTATTTTTTTTAAAAAAATATATTTTTATTGGTTTTAGAGAGGAAGAGAGAGAGAGAGAAACATCAATGATGAGAGAGAAACATTGATCGGCTGCCTCCTGCTTGCCCTCCACTGGGCATGTGCCCTGATCAGGAATCGAACCGTGACCTCTGGTTCATAGGTTGACAATCAGCCACTGAGCCACATCAACTGAGCAGAAATGTATATTTATTAACATTAATAGAAGTTGTCAAAGAAAAGTTTTCAGACTATAAATGTTGGAGGCAGTAGGAAGGGCACCAGGTGTGTTAGACCAGTGGTGTCAGATCAGACCTGGGTTTAGCAATCTCAGTACTTGAGTGTAGCTAGGAAAGAATTCAGAGCAAAGACTCAAACTATGAGAGAACATTTATTTGGAAAATCACAGAGGTAGAAGTAATTCATAGAAGAAATGGGCTTAGGAAACAAGTTATAGAGGCAAAGGAGAGGCCCTTAGCGCTTAGAAGTGAGGAAGGTCAAGGTGATGCACCTGTGGGGAGGAAGAGAGGAGATGAGAGGCGGGGGAGGGGCAGGTGAGGGGTGCTCTGGGAGGAGAGTGCACTGGATCCTCTATCTTAAGGGTTTTAAGGGTAGAGATTCAGGGGAGATCCCAGGGGAAGGTTTCAATAGAATATTCAGCAGCTTTCCAGGTGTGTCCTTTCAGGGTCCAGGTCTCCACTAATTGATTGGTCAGTGCCAGGGCAGGGGGTCATTATCCAATGCAGCTTGTCCTGAGGTCAGCCTTGGTGTCACTTGTCTGGTTTTGCTGCTTTTCTGGGCCTGGAGCTGAAATATAGTTGAGGCCTAGATGTTATCTCTAGGGAGGAAAGGCCAGGGTATCCAAACCCCATGCATGACCAGGGATAAGCTAGTGGAGGAAGGGTCACCCTGAGGGTGAGGTCACACCCTACATTTGTCCTTTGCTAGGCATCCGAGACTTTTCACCCTGGTGACCTTCTATACCTAGCCCTTCCTCCCTACTCTGGTCATGTCTGTCTAACTGCCTACCACATAAACATGACTTGAAATCCTACCTCAAATGATCTTCTAATGTTTGAAACACCAAGGGGTGCATGTCACCGGGAATAATAACCATGTTGTGAATGCAGAGGTGATAACAACTTCATCATGACCGCTTCGTGGCTGACAGCAGTTGGGAGCCGGCCTCAGTTGTAAGGTGCATACCGATTGCACAGCTGTTGAGTGTGAAAAATGTACACCTCACATTCAGTCGCTGACTGTGTTTCTCCAGAAACATTGTCCCAGTTATTTTCTCACCAACATTAGTGTGCTCTTTCCTTGTGCTTTTGACATTTAGAATTATTGGTCCTTTAAGTATTTGCCTACTTAATTGTTCAAAAATGATATTTCATGATTAAAATGTATAATTATTCTACTGTTTGTGAGGTTACACATTGTTTAATATTTTGTTGAATACTTGTGTTTATTTCTTTTATGGGATGCTTTCTCATGTCTTTTGCCCATATTTCTTTCTTTCTTTTTTGTTTTTTGTTATTAACCCTTACTGAAGGATATTTTTACCATTGATTTTTAAAGAGAGTGGATGGGTGGGAGAGACAGAGAGAGGGAGGAAGTGAGGGAGAGAGAGAGAGAGAGAGAGAGAGAGAGAGAGAGAGAGAGAGAGAGAGAGAGAAAGAAAAATATTGATTAGTTGCCTCCCACACACACCCCAACTGGGATTGAACCTGAAACCTGGGTATGTGCCCTGACCCAGAATAGAACCAAACTGGGTGCACGGCATAATGCTCAACCAACTGAGCCACACTGGCGAGGGCAGAAAAGGAACTTTGGACTTTTCAGTTATAATTAATTTGAGAGTTTCTTGATGGAAATTATTAAAATATATTTGTCCTATTCTCATAGACTATGGAGTAAATGATTATGTAGCTTATTTAAAAGTGAGAGCTTAATTATAAGTTCTGTTCGTGAGGCCGGAGTTCTTCAATTATTAGCTTAGATTGTTTTATTACTTAGAAAATCTACATATTAGATAGTAGGTATGTTTTCCTATTTTTAGGTTTGGTCTGAGATTGGGAAAGGCTTTCTGGATGGATCACTTGATAAAAGTACAACTCGGAAAAAACAATATGAAGATGGTAAGTTTTGCCACTCTTAATTTCTAGTGAGGACAAAAGGATATGTGCTTTATTTTAATAGGGCTATTTCGGAACAATGAAATTATAAATCATGGTTTTTTTCTCTGTTGTTTTTTCCCCCCCTACATTTCCCATAATGGAAGTTCTTAAACAAATGAGAGGAAAAAGCAGTGAATTTGTAAATGAAATTCTAGCATTCACTGCAGAATGAGAATGCTGTAGAGTTGGAATAGCCTACAGGATTAATGGAGAATGTAAGGGTACAACCCTAGGAAAGCATTTTGATGACACATGTTAAGATTAATAAATGATGGATTAAATTACTTAGAAAGAGAAAAATATTTCTTGAATATTTCTGTCCCTGCTATTTCTGCAAGTAGAAAACCAGAAACAATATAAATATCCAACAACGTAGGAACTGTTAAGAAAATCATATCAATATAATTAAATATTTTGTAATATTTGTAAAAAATGTAGCAACATAAAAATTATTGCCATTATAACATATATAATTTTGAAAACAATATTTTCAAAATTGTTTGGCATTGGTTACAACTTTGTAAACTCAGGAAAATAGCAGTTTTAGTTTAAGATGGCTCCCTCAAGTTATTCTCCCCCTTTTTATTTTATTTTACATATTCTGTCAATAATTTAATGATTGTAATGCTTTAATACCTTTATTCTGAGCTGCTTCAGTTCCTTTTTTGGAGGTAGGCTGGGGTAAATTAAAATCCATAAACTGCATTGGAATAATGGGTTGTTTTCCATATATAACAGTATTGCTCCTCAGGATTATCTTCCTTTATTCTTTCAACAAATGTTTATTGAGGCCCATATGTGCTGGGCCCTCTTCTCCGTATAGAAGACAACAATCCCTGTCCTCATGGGGCTGACCATTTCAGTGATTCCTTTGATGTCCAGACCAAGTCCAGAAAAGCCAATTTAATTGATACATTTTCTGCTATCCAGTTTTTGTAACCATTCTGATTATCTCGATGGATGCATTTAGAGTAATCCCCTTAATAAAAAATGTATTTCACAAACATTGGTTCAATTAATATAAATGGAAATGAATAACATAATTTTTTAGATTCTAAATAAAGTAGATTGTAAAACAAAGCAAACAAAAATTCCTGTCTTTGTGGTAGCACATTCTAGTGGAAAGAGGCAGACAATAATCTAAATAAATAAACGCAATAGTGTGTTAAAAATGCAAAGTGCTACAGAGAAAATTAAATCAGGAAGGGGGTTAGGGAGTGCTAGAGGTGAGGAGGTTACAATTTTAAATAAGGCCATTAGGAAAGGCCTCACCAAGCTAGGTGACCTTTGAGCAAACAGTTGTAAGAGGTAAGGTAACTGTCATGTGGACATCCTACGTCCAAGGGAGGAATATTCCATGTAGAGGAACAGTAATTGCCAAGTCCTTGAGGTGGGATTCTCCATGGCATATTTAAGGTATAACAGGGTGTGTCTGTGGTGAAGTGAGTCAGAGAGGAATAGGAGATGAGGCTAGAATGACTGGGGATAGGGGCAGATTGTCTGGTTTGTAGATCATTGTGTGAATAGGTTCTTACTATGAGATAGGAAGCCACTGGAAGGTTTTGAGCAGAGTTATGATCTGAATTATGTTTTTTTAAAAAATATTTTTTATTGATTCCAGAGAGGAAGGGAGAGGGAGAGATAGAAACATCAATGATGAGAGAGAACCATCTATGGGCTGCCTCCCGCATGCCCCCCACTGGGGATCAAGCCTGCAACCCGGGCATGTGCCCTTGACTGAAATCGAACCCAAGACCCTTCAGTCCGCAGGCCGACGCTCTAGCCACTGAGCTAAACCAGCCAGGGCTGAATTCTGTTTTTAAAGGATCACTCTGGTTGCTATGATAAGTTGGAGGTACCGAGAGCAGAAGTGGGAAGACTACTTAGGGAGCTGTTGCAATGAACCAGACAAGAGAAATAATGTGGTGTGGACTCAGTGTCAGGCAACAGAAAATGTAGCAAGAAAAAAAATAAGGGAGAATAATTCTGTATTTGGAAGACAGATCCACCAACATGGGTCGACAGATTAGATGTGAGGTATAAGCAAGAAGGAGGATACCCAGATTCTAGGCCTAAGTAATTGGAAATTAAAGCTATTGGGAAATAAGATGGACAGACTAGGAAGATCAACTTTGAGGGGAAAGATCAAGGGTCAGTTTTGGATATGGTATGTTTAATATGTTTCAGGCAGCAAAGAGGAGATCCAGAGATGGTTATAAGATACATGAGTCGAGTTCAGGGGAAAGGTCCTGACTGGAAATATAAATTTGTGAGTGTTAAGTACATAGATTGTATTTAAAGCCTTGGGGCTGGTGATCACCAATCTAATTGAATGTAAATAGCAACAGAGAAGAGTTCCAAAAACTGATATGTGACCTTGGACATGCTACCATGAAAAAATTCTAGAGATGAGAAGGAATCAACAAAGGAGACTGAGAATGGGCAGGTAGGGGAGTGGGAGAAAAGCATGGAGTCTGGGAGAGTGAATCCTGGAAGCCAAATGACCAAGTGTTTCCTGCAAGTAGGTGGTCAACATCATCAAGTGCTGTGATAAGCCAAGTAAGATGGGAACTGAGAAATGATCTTTGGATAATTCTTTTGATTGTTGGATATCAGCTACTCTGTATCTTTTAGGTTTTAGGAGTTTTCTTTTTTAATATATAGATTTTTATTGATTTCAGAGAGGAAGGGAGAGGGACAGAAAGATAGAAACATCAATGATGAGAGAGAGTCATTGATAGGCTACCTTCTGCATGCCCCTCAATGGGGATCGAGCCTGCATCCTGGGCCTGGGCCCCGACTGGGAATCCAACCATGACCTCCTGGTTCATAGGTCAACATTCAGCCATTGAGGCACGCTGGCTGGGCCCTTTTCTTGTTATTTCACATCTGTTTCTGTCCCTAAACTGGGTGATGCCTGATTTGAGAGAAGAATAAAGTTAAGAGGACAGAAATTAGAAGCGAGGTGGATAATATCAGGGGAGAGGTATATGTGTGTGGAGGCCTCTAAGGTGCTGGCATTGTCCTACTTCTTGACCTGGGTGGCGATATTATGGGTGTTTGCTTTATAATTATTCCTTAGATGGTGCATATATAGCTTATGTACTTTTTTGTATACGTATAAAATTTAGTGAAGAGAAGGAAAAGAAAGTAGATGAATTTAAACATAAATTAGCTTTTAAAAAATTGTTGGTTACTACTTTACCGTTGAATATTTTATTCTGTAGTAATAGCATTGTACAGAAATATTTTAAAGTTTAATCTTTACAAGTGCATATATTCTAAATTTTTTTTTGTTTTTTTTCCACTAAGCCCTTATGCAACTGGAATCTATTTTGAAGAAAATCATAAAAGAACGAAAAGGAAAGAACATTAGTCAACGTATTTTCATTGACTCCTTAGTACAGGGAAACCTTAATGACCAACAGGTAATGTAATTGTTAAACATTTTTCAAATAAAAGATAATCACACATGTATAGAGTGTGGTTTTTATTCATTTAATCCAGATGGCCTCCAAAATCCAATGGCTTTCTTTTCTTTTACTGTACATCATCCATAAACAGTATTAGTATTTAGTCTCCTGATATTTAGCTCTTTGAAGCAGTTGTTTATTATTTAATAACTAGAGGCTCAGTGCATGAAATTCATACACTCGGGCGGGGGGGGGGGTGTCCCTCAGCCTGGCCTGTGCCCTCCCATGGGGAGCAGGCCTAAGCCGTTAGTCGGACATCCCCTGAGGGGTCCTTAGCGCTGCTGCGGAGATGGGAGAGGCTCCCGCCACTGCCACAGCACTCGCCAGCTTTTGGCTGAGCAGTGTTCCCCCTGTGGGAGCGCACTGACCACCAGGGGGCAGCTCCTGCATTGAGCATCTGCCCCCTCGTGGTCAGTGCACATCATAGCGACCAGTCATTGTGCCTTTTGGTCAATTTGCATATTAGCCTTTTATTATATAGGATTGGGAAGCAAATATTGAGCCAAAAATCTCTGATCATAAAATAGGAGGGCCTGTATAAGCCTTTATCGACTAAGCTGCTCCGCCTGCATGACCAGATGTGCAGCTTGGCTTGTTCCAGTGTGTGTCTGTTTCCCCCAGCGCACCTATGGTGTTGTCAGGCAAAAGACAGGAGGGGAGCCATTATTGCCACACCCTTTTATTCCGCACATGCAAGTCTTCAGAGACAGAAGTGGCTTTTTGGTGTGTGTGTGTGTGTGAGTGCAGGCATTGAATCAGGCTCCCAGGACAGTGAGTAGCAGGCTTTCCGTGGTTCCTGAGGCTTCATTGCTGCACCAGGCCAAGCCAGAAAGGGAGGACTGAGCCAATTTATTTGCAAAAATTACCATGAGACAGTAATATAGATAAATGTTTACTGCATGGAAAAAGGCAATACGATATTTAGATTGGTTCTTATATAGATTTTTTTTAACTGAAACATAATAAAGACTTAGTTATGAAACATAATATAGACTTTTCCCCTTACCTTGACCCCTATTACAGAATAGGTTATTTTAGTAGGGCCTGATACAGGCCACTTTGCATTTCATATTTTCTAAACTTCACTTTGTTTTCTAGATCCTAGAAGACAGTATAATATTTTCTCTGGCAAGTTGCATAATAACTGCAAAATGTAAGTATTCCTTGAATCCTTCTGGAGATAGAGTATAACATATACAAGGCTAAAGCTATTCTAAAATAAAGGAAACATTCTTTATAATTCCCCCCCCCCCACACCGCTTCTTTTTTATTCTTGTTTGCAAGACTTGATTCACACAGGTACCTTTTTAAAAACCCCAGGTGTTCTATGCCACCTCTGAACAGTGCCATAAAAATTTTGACACAGTTTAGGGATTGTGAATTCTAGTTAGTGCTTTAAAAATGAACTGCTATTGACACCTTTCCAACCGAGCAGTGAGCTTTTCAGTTTCCTGCTGGGGCATTTCACTTTGACTCGTTTGGGCTGCTATTACTAAGGTCTACCAGCAGAAGAGATGGGCCACAGGAATCATGATTCAGAAGCACTCTTTTGTCAGATTGAAGGTGCTTTTCTTTCAAAATCTAAAATGGGTGTGATGTGTTTCTAAGTTTCCTTACTGAATTTTAGTTTAGCAGAGTACCATTCATTCATACAGTATTTATAAAAATTTGTGTATATCTATAAAATTATAATAACATAAAATGTTAAAGGAAGTATTAAAATATTAGTTTAAAATCCAAAAAATTCATGTTCACTTGAAGGATTCATTTACAACTCTTTCTGTTGAAGGAACTTTTCTTAAAAACAAAGACTACACATACAAACTCCCCATCAATTTTTCTTGCTGTAAAATTTTCAACATTAAGAGATGTTCAGATATTATAAATTAAATGGAATTAAGGTAAGCTTGTGTAAATATGATGTATTGAACCTTTTTTAAAAAAATCCTCACCTGAGGATATATTTTTATTGATTTTTCATTTTTAGAGTGACAGAGAGAGAGCGAGAGAGACAGGCAGACAGACAGACGGAGACAGACATCAGTTGCCTCCTGTGTGAGCCCCAACTGGGGATCCTGAAACCTAGGTATGTGCCCTGACCGGGAATTGAACCCAAAATCTTTTGGTGTAGGAGACAATGCTCTAACCAACTGAGCCACCCAGCCAGGGCTGTATTGGATCTTTTTTTAAAATGCTTAACTTGTTTTAATATTTTATTGCATTAAAATATATTTTTGCTAAAGTCCTTAGAATAAATCTGAATCAGTTGTCCTCTAGATATCACAAAAAGTGATCATTTCCAAGGTTGAGTAAATATTTTAATCTGATTTGAAATTTTCAGAGGATTATTTATTTGCATTGGGCTGGTTATTTTTAAGTCACTTCTGAAGTTTCTGAGAGGCAAGATAGGCAGGAAACCATCAAGTTCCTCCTCTGCTGCTGACAGCCTTGAACCAAGGTACTTACCCTGCATTTTCTCCTTTTCTAAAATAAGGATTTAGCTGTAGACGACCTCCAAGGTATCTTCCAACTATAAAATTGTGTCTTGGTTCAGTAGTATAATTAAAGAATGTTCAGTGGCTTAAAATCACACTTTTAAGCTGTCTCCATTCATACTTTATTTTTAATAGAGCTCTGCAAAGGAACCATTGTTTGAAATTATGAAGCTTGTACAGTGATGTTAATTTTTAAATGACCATTTAGTCAAGCTGGGTGTACATGTGCCTACTATATTCAAATTTTTGTGCTAAATCTTTCAGTATTATATTTTACTATGCAATTCTGTAAAATTGCATACATATACATATTGTACACTATCTGCACTAGTTTTCATGTCACTCGTCTTTTTTTTATCTTAAAGTCATTTTTATTTTTCAATTACAGTAGACATACATTATTATGTTAGTTTCAGGTGCACACCCCAGTGATTAGACATTACATAAGTTACTAATTTTAGTTTAGCAGAGTACCATTCATTCACACAGTATTTGATAAATCTTGCACCCATCTGATACCATACATAGTTATTAGAATATTTCTGACTGTATTCCCTATGCTGTGCTTTACATCCCCATGACTATTCTGTAACAACCAATTTGTTCTTCTTAATTTCTTCACCTTTTTCACCAGACCCTCAACCCCCTCCCATCTGGCAACTGTCAAAATGTTCTCTGTATCTGTGAGTCTGTTTTTGTTCTGCTTGTTCATTTATTTTGTGAAACAGAAATTCTGCAGTTCACTCAAAAGCCATAATAAGGAAGCATATGTAGGAAAAAGTTAAGGACAGGCAGTTACTCATCATGTGCCTTTTTTGAACTCTAGATGTGAGCAATTATCAAAATAATTGAGGAACAGGTAGCTATTGATTTTATTAGTAACATTTAGTACAGAAAGTGAATTATGTCTTTTCTAGGCATGGGAATTGGATAATATGTGAGTTAAAATTTAAATTTGAGACAAATTTATAGCAGCCCTTACTAGCTCAGGAAAGAAATATTAAGTAGAGGTACAAATTAGTAAATGTATTTTGAAAAGTACTTGACATAGAAAAAGTAGAGCGGAGTCAAACATAATCTAGGGGAAGAAGTACTATATAACGTGGATGGTCTAATTCTTTGAATGGTTGTAATCCCAGTGGATTACTAAAGAAAATCTAACTACTTTATTTTCTCTGTTTTATGTTCATCATGTAATTTTCTTACCTTTTCATTGCCACAGTGAATATAATCCATAAACCATTTTAACCAAAAGTAAGCCAGACGCTAGTGATTTTCCAATTTTGGTGTTCATGAAAATAATTGTGGTATTTGTTAGATGCTTCGATCCTACCCTAAACCTACTAAATCAGAATCTGTGGGTGTGAGGGGATTTTTGAGAACCACTGTCCTAAGCAATAACCAGTCCCAGTTCTTAAGCCAGGGTATCTACTCTTACAAGTGAAAATTTAGAATATTGACTTGTAGGTAAAGCTCCTGCTACTTTGATTTGTATGAGTCATTTCATTAGAGCTCCTGAGTAAACTGATAAATCAGTATTTTATTTTACAAGGTTGAGTGAACCAGACAATTGACAACAGTGTGGTGATTGTGGGGGGCCGGGGGGGCGTGGCGGGTGGAGTGGAAGAGGGTATAGAGGGGATAAATGGTGATTGAAAAAATAAAATAGTTTAAGAAGTGGCTTTAATTGTTTGCCAGTTTAAGAAAGAAATCTTTCAGATTGCCTTATTTCTTTTGGGGAGTATTCTGTAAATATTTATGTTTTGTTCAGTGAAATACAAATCCTGTGAAGAGTCTTGCTTTACTTTTTTGTTTTTGGTAGCATTTATTTATCTTCTGTATTAGGGGGAAAAAAGGAAAATACAAAAAAATAAAGGTTTTTTGTTTTTTTTCTTATTCTGCACCCAAACTGTGAAGTAGCTATTTTCATTGTTATTAATGTAAATCTTCACTTAGTGTGCACCTGGGCAATCTGTTTTTTAACCACCTCTGAAGAAGTGCAGAAAAAACTATATGAAGAGATAGACCAAGTTTTTGGGAAGGGTCCTATTACTCCAGAGAAAATGGAGCAGCTCAGGTAAGAACACAATAAAAGGAAGAGGAGATCATTAAAAGGTAAATTTGAGCAGTTTGGCTATCTCATTTAAAGCTAATGGCTAATATCTTGGAAAGCTATCTATCTTTACAGGACTTAAAATATTCACATAAGATTTTAATAAATTAATTTACGTTCTAAAACCATTCGGTAGTTCTGGGAAAGCTTTACATTGGCCTGTATAAAATAGTAGCAGTGATGTCAATCAAGTAAGTGGAACATTCATACCTTGGTGGTGGGAATGGAAAACAAAACAGTCCTGTAGGAAAACAGTGTGGCAGGACCTTAGAGAGTTAAACAGATGCTTACCATTTGACCCAGCAATTCTTTGCCTAGGCATTCACCAGAGAAATAAAAATAAATGGCCACACAAACCTGTTTGCAAATGTTCAAAAGCAATATTATTTATAATAGCAAAAAACTGGAAGCAGTCCAAATGTTTGTGAACTGGTGAATAAACAAATTGTATTATATTTGTACTATGGAATATTACCAAGTAATAAAGAGTAACACAGTAATTTAAAAGGAAGTCTAAATTTTTCACTGGTCAAACATCTAATAAAGCAGAGAAATTGATTGTCGGAATACGTTAACCTCTGTCTTAGGAGTGATGGGAGGGTCAGATAAAATACAAACTAGGGTTACTTTTTCATGTTAATGTTTGACAATTTGAGAAGCAGATTTCATCAGATCAAGAACAGCCTTACAGATATTATATCGGAAGCGTATACCTGGAATAAACCTTTGTCCTTCTGGGGATACAGCACTGAAGTTAAGCCGCCCACTTATCGTTAACGGGAAGTCTTAGGCGTTGAGGTGGCCACGCTGTCCTGGGCTGGCCTCTGTACAGACGATTCTCACCCTCTGCACACGTCATTGAACTGCATTTCTTCAGTGGTTTGATTATTCTGAAGAAAAACTTTTTATTTCTACCACATAATTTGACACTAAAAATTATTTAAAGGAATTTAACAAAACCAAAGCCACTAGGAAAAACCAATGTGTTGTGGTATGTATCATTTTTATGTTGGGGACCGGTTTTATTATTTTTGGAACTATTACAAGACTTCTGTTAAACATGTTGAATGTTAAGAGGAAACAGACTCTTGGCAAATATGGAAAACCAATTACAGAGAAGGTCTCTGCTAGAGCTTCAAGAAACACCAGGGAGTCACAGAAGTTTGTCCTCCTTCCTCTAACTCCCAAAACAGGAGGAGCCGCCTTGAAGAAAAATAGGACAGTTACCCTGTTATCCTTATTGTTATATTTACAGGAAAAAGACCATGAAATTGTACTTCTCAGTTAAATCTACTTATAATGGGGTAGAACACAACATAGAATTACTTTTTAAAAGACAAATCTGATGTAAGGAAAGTGATATTTTTAAAATAAAAAGTAACGCAGTATCAATACACACATAATGGAAATCTCATTATGCTAAGTGAAAGAAGTCAAACACAAAGATTGCCTACAGTATGATTTCACTCAGGCGAAATTAGAGAAAAGGCAAAGCTAGTGTCATAGAAAGCAGATCCGTGCTTGTTTGGGGCAAGAAATGTGGATGGGATGAGCTATGAAGGTACGGAAGTAAAGGTTTTAGGGTGAGGGAAGTGTTCTTGTTCTGTGTTTTGCTTGTAGTTTTGGTTACACAATTGTGTAAACTCATCAAATTATACATCTGAAATAAATGAAAAATATTTTAGATTCCACATATAAGTGAAATCAGAAACTAATAACGTATGTCAATTATAATTGAAAAATAAAAATTATTTTAAAATAGATGAATTTTTTACATGTAATAATTTAAAAGATTTTTAAAAATAGTGGCTGTGACTGCTTAGGAATGGATTGGAAGTCTGAGTCTGGGTAACAAACAGCCCTATCTCGGAGCATCTTTCAACCCTAGAAACGAAGATAGGGAGACAGCCATTGGCAAAAACTCGAAGCCATGGGTTTCTCAGGGAGGCTTCTGTTACAGTCTTCAAAGTGGTGGGAGTTTTATCTATTACATTGAATGTAGCTATCTTTAATTTTAAGAGTAATACATGCTTGTCTTTTGAAATTTTTATAATTCAGAAGTGTATGAAGTAGAAGTTGTAGAAGGTACATTCTTTATAAATGTACCTTTAGGGATAAAAATTGTTAACCATTTTACTATTTTTTTCAGATTTTTCTATGCACATATACTTATGTATTTAAAACAAAAAATTTAAAAACATTAAAAAATACATAACATATAACTCTTCTGTAAATTCCATTTTTTTCTCTAAATATTTTATGGACAGTATTCTTCAGTGTAGTAACTCCCAACACAACTAATCAGTGATCAAATTTTATTGATTCTGCTTTCCAAACAACTTCAGTTGGAAGTTTAGTTTTAGTTCTTGTCTGGGACATTTCAACAGTCTTAGATCTTGCTCCCCTCCAATTCATTCTTGAAATGACTACTGGAGCCTGTGACTGTAATCACCTCAGGTGCTTTAAAAATACAGATAACCTGGGAACAATCCAGAGACAACAAGCTCTGACATTGGTGGTTTTCAAAAGCCTCTCAGATTATTGTAATGTGTAGCCAAAGATGAGAGTCACTGAGCTAGTGATCTCTATATATATGGGGAGTCACATCTGATTAGATGACTCTCCACTTTAAAATCCTTCAGCGACTTCTGGTTGCCGTTAAGATAAAATTTAGCCGTAACCGGTTTGGCTCAGTGGATAGAGCGTCAGCCTGCGGACTGAAAGGTCCCGGGTTCGATTCCGGTCAAGGGCATGTACCTTGGTTGCGAGCACATCCCCAGTAGGGAGTGTGCAAGAGGCAGCTGATTGATGTTTCTCTCTCATCGATGTTTCTAACTCTCTATCTCTCTCCCTTCCTCTCTGTAAAAAATCAATAAAATATATTTAAAAAAAAAAAAAAAAAAAAAAAAAAAAAAAAAGATAAAATTTAAACTCATGGGGCATTTCATGAGCTTCTGAGGCATTTCAATAGCTTAGCTTTGCATTCCTCTTCTACCTTATCTCTTATTACTTGTGCCTCTTCATACTCTTGGATTCAGCTGTACTGAAATTCTTTTGTTTCTTCAAAGGCACAGCACTCTTTCATAGCTTCTGGGTTTTGCAGACGGTTTTTTTGTCTAGATTCTTTCTCTCTCTTCTAGCTACCTCCTGTTTTTGCCTGAAGGTCTCAGCCCGAGTGTTTACTTTTCTGCATAGTCCTCCCTCCAGTTAGGTGCTCCTGCCATGTGTTCCCCAATTCCCTGAATTTTCTTTATCATAACAGTTACTGCGCTTTTGTAACTGTTCATCCTTGATGTCCCCACTTTTCTCCCTTCCCCTGTCAACTAGATTTTGAGTTCCTTTGGAGGTATCTGTCTTGTTCACTGCTTTAGCTGAGTATCTAACACAGAGCTTCTAATGTAGGACGTACCCAATAAATATTTGTTCAAAAAGGAAAGGATGTTTCCTCTTTTGTTGTTTTTAGATATTATAAACAAAATTAGCATTCCTATGCTTACCTCTTTGCTAATATTTCTAATTGTTTCTATTAATAAATAATGAGATTAGTATTTAAGGATATATGCAATAGTATAGTGCCTCATTAAATTCTTTTTTAATCTGTAAAATTAAAATAATAATGGGATCCTTGAGGTTCTTTTAAGGATTAAAAGAGATACTGCATAGCCCTTGCCAGTTGGCTCAGTGGATAGTGTTAGCCCAGGGACTGAAGGGTTCCGGGTTCAATTCCAGTCAAGGGCTTGTACCTGGGTTTCAGGTTCCCCGGCCTTGGTCAGGGTGCATGCAGGAAGCAACCAATCTGTGTGTCTCTCTCACATCGATGTTTCTCTCTGTCTCTACCTCTCCCTTCCACTTTCTCTAAAAATCAATGGAAAAATATCCTCAGGTGAGGATTAACAACAACAACAACAAAAAAGAGATACTGCATAGAAACTATTTAACAGAACAGGTTCGTGGCAAGATTTCAATACATTTTCTTCTCATTGTGATGCACACTTAATATTCTTATACTGTATGTTGCCAAATTATCCTTCAGAAAGGTTATACCAATTTATATTTCCACCAATTGACTATCAATGTCTTTCCCCCATTATTATTATTATTATTGCCTAATGTTATTCTTTTTCATCTTGGCAAATCTGCCAAGTAAAAAAAATTGCTCTGATTGGCTGTCTTTCCATTGTTGATGAGATTATCATTTCATGTGTTTTCAGGCCATTTGTATTTATTTTGTTAATTGCTTTTCTGTATACTCTGTTCACATATCTGTTGGGGTGTTTAATTATTTTAATTATGAATTTTTAAAGAGCTTTGATACATTAAATATATATTTACTGTATTTTTTCTAGTCTTTTAAAATTTTTTTCTAGTTGTCTTAATTTTATGTATGATGATTGTAAATATATAAAAAAATCCCATAATCAGATTATTTGTGTTTTTTGTTATGATTTCTGTCATTGTTTCACTATTTATATAATTTTTTATTAGCAAAGTCTTTTATTAAAATTTTTATTAATTACTTTATTAAAAATATAGGATTTTTCTACTCAAAAATTATAAAAATATTGCTTTGAATTTTCTTTGATACTTTTAAAGATGTTTTTATTTGTTTAAATCTTTACCCACATGGACTTTATATGTTTATATAACATATCTTCAACCAACAATCATCATGTGACTATTTCAAGTTATGAAAGTTGTTGAATGACATTTTGAAATATTTCTACATTTCATACTGCCTCTCTCATATTAAAGATCTTCTAAAAAAAATTTTTTTAAACAGATATTGTCGACAAGTGCTTTGTGAGACTGTTCGGACTGCCAAACTGACCCCAGTTTCTGCCCGGCTTCAAGATATTGAAGGAAAGATCGATAAATTCATTATTCCTAGAGAGGTAGGAAACATTTAGTATACTTAACTCATTCAGTTATTCTTTTCAACTCTTTTAGTGTGTATTTTTAAATTTTATTGTTTAAAGTGTCCAATAAATGCTACCTATTATAAAATCAAAGGCACAGTCATTTAAAATGACAAAATAATATATGCCTGTTCTAAAGTTCAAACTATATAAAAGAAAAGCTCTCTTCCCCATTGGTACTACTGTTAATAGTTTAATGTGTATTTTTTTCGTTATTTTCTTTTTTCCCATCACCACTTCCCCCCCTATGCCTTCCTCCACTTCCACCCACCACCACACCCTTGCAGTCACCACACTACTGTCCATGTCCATGAGTTCTTTCTCTTTAGTGTATATTTTTATAGATCTTTTTCTGTGTGTGTATATTATTCTGTGTATGTATATACACATAGATATGTGTATATGTTTTAAAAACTGAATTTATATGTGAAAGGTTACTCTTTATATATTGTTCTTTAATTTTCTTTTATTGAGTGTATCATGACTACTAGTATAGCTGGCACTTGATACAGATCCAACTCATTATTATTATTTTTAAAATATATTTTTATTGATTTCAGAGAGGAAGGGAGAGGGAGAGAGAGATAGAAACATCAATGATGAGAGAGAGTCATTGATCGGCTGCCTCCTGTACGCCCCAACTGGGGATCAAGCCCATAACCCGGGCATGTGCCCTTGACTGGAATCACACCCGGGGCCCTTCAGTCCGCAGGCCAACACACTATCCAAACCGGCTAGGGCCAACTCATTTTTAATGGCTGCATAGTAATCCATTACCATGATTTATTTAAGCAGTTCTCAGAAATGGAAATTAGATCTATTTTTTTATTATTTCAAATTATATACTTGGACAGATATTGGATAGAGCTGTAGAAATGGAGTTTTTTGGGTCAAAGTGCATATGTATGTTGAATTTAAATTGTTATCTAAAAGACAATTTATATTGTTAGCAATAATGTATGAAAAAGCTTTTTGTCTCCATATCATCACCACCTATAGATTTATAAATCGTATATATTTTGTGAATTTTATATGAAAAACTGTCTTATGATTTTAATTTGCTTTTTCCTAATTTTTGGAGAGATTGAACAGCTTTTCATATATAAACAGTTTGTATTTCTTGTCTTGTGAATTATCTGCTTGTAACTCACTGTTCTTTCCAGTGAGCTTATATGTCTTTTTGTATATTATACATGCTTTTTGTATATTATACACTTTGTATAATATACATGTCTTTTTGTATATTACACAAGTATTTTTTCTTTCTATTTGATATGGTTTGGTATTTTTTTGTTTTGACAGGATGCAGTTTTTAAAATTTTTATATAGTTAAATCTGTTATTACTTTATGGCTTTTGTGACAGGCTTAGGAATGCCTTCCTCACTGTAAGATTACCAAAGTCATGGCCTCTGTTTTCTTCTGTTGTTTTATATTTTTATTTTGTATTCATTGTCTACATTAAAAGAGCAATTAGGATGAGCTGGCTTTCTGGGAGTCGCTTTGCTTTGTTAGGCCTTGACTAACTAGAAGACATTTATGTTTGTTTGCAGACCCTTGTTCTTTATGCCCTTGGTGTGGTACTTCAAGATCCCAGTACTTGGCCATCACCATACAAGTATGAAATATCTGTCACTGTCATGTGATGATTGATTTTTATGTGTTTTCATGTGTTGCATTACTTTTCTAATTTTTGAGGAGAAAACAGTATGTGACAATGATACATTTATATCTTCCCTTTGTATCTTCTGCTCACTCACTACTTTTCCTTTCATGAATCTGCTGTCTGCTACTCTATGTCTCTCCTGTTACCACTTCTATCCTAAGATCTGTTTAACTACCTGATCTCTACAACTATCTTTTAATTTCAGTGAAATTTTGGAATTTTTTTTTTTTTTGGTTAATTTGTCTCAACTATTAAGTGCTTTAGTCAAATTCAGAAAATATGTTTTGTGTGTATAAGTGTTGTATGTGAGAATGGTGAGGGAGGGAAAAGCTGGAGAACAGCTGCTTTTGTTTGCCTCTTAAATAGGCATCTAGTAAAATCCTAAGGAAATGGTTAGGATTTACTGTCCTAGAAGAAGATTATATATGGAGTTGATTGAGAGTAAAACAACTGTGTGAAAATCAGGAGGCAGGGTTGGTGACATGGTTGAAGTACTAGGAAACCTTCTTTTGGAGGATAAGGATAGGACATATTAAGTGTTTCTATCATTTTGGCTTTTAATATTATAATGATATTAAAGGAAATCTATTAATAAAATAGCAATCCTTTGAAATATGCTATAAGTAAAAATTAAGTAAATTTTTATATTCCAAGTGGCTTTTATAGCAAAAGTAAAGATATGCATTGGCAGATCAGAAAATCTAGGTTGCAAATTGAAAAACAGAGAAAGAAATTGAGGATGCGGAGAAAAGGGAACACTCGTGCACTGCTGGTGGGAATGCAGACTGCTGCAGCCAATATGGAAGACAGTATGGAGTTTCCTCAAAAAGTTAAAACTGGAACTCCCATTTGACCCAGTGATCCCACTTCTAGGAATATATCCCAAGAAACCAGAAATACCAATCAGAAAGGATATATGCATCCCTATGTTCATAGCAGCACAATTTACCATAGCTAAGATTTGGAAACAGCCTAAGTGCCCATCAGTAGATGAATGGATTAGAAAACTGTGGTACATCTACATGATGGAATACTATGCTGCTATAAAAAAGAGGAACTCTTACCATTTGCAACAGCATGGATGGAACTGGAGAGCATTATGCTAAGTGAAATAAGCCAGTCAATGAAAAAAAAATACCACATGATCTCACTCATTTATGGATAATAAAGACCATTATAAACTGATGAACAAAAATAGATACAGAGGCAGAGCAGCATGGAACAGACTGTCAAACTACAGCGGGAAGGCTGGGGAGTGTTGGCGGGGGGGGCAGTACGAGATCAGCCAAAGGACTTGTATGCATGCATATAAGCATAACCAATGGACACAAGACACTGCGGGATAGGGGAGGCGGGGGAAGGTCAGGGCAGGGGGGAGGAGACATATGTATTACTCTTTGTAATACTTTAAGCAATAAAAATTAAAAAAAAGAAATATATGCTAAATGTGGAAATCATTTTTAGGAATCAAATGTAATTAAATTTAGGAAATGTTAGTAATGCTGTTGTATGCTAAGGAAAAGCTTTCTGAAGTTTGATACCTCCTTACCCATCCCTTTTGGAAAATCCAGAGGTACATTCTTTTTAAAAATATATATATTTTTATTGATTTCAGAGTGGAAGGGAGAGGGAAAGAAGAGAGAAAAACATCAACGATGAGAGAGAATCATTGATCGGTTGCCTCCTGCACTCCCCACACTGGGGAGCTAGCCCAAAACCCGGGCATATGCCCTGACCAGGAATTGAACCTTGATCTCCTGATTTATAGGTCAACGCTCAACCACTGAGCCATACTTTGTTGAGGATTTTAGCATCTCTGTTCATTAGAGATACTGGTCTATAATTTTCTTTCTTTGTAGTGTCTTTATCTGTTTTTGGAATTAGGGTAATGCTGGCCTCAAAAAGTGAGCTTTGGAGTCTTTTCTCCTCTTGAATTTAGATACTGGTCTATAATTTTCTTTCTTTGTAGTGTCTTTATCTGTTTTTGGAATTAGGGTAATGCTGGCCTCAGTTTTTAGATTACTGCTTCTATTTCTTTTGTTGTAATTGATCTGTTCAGGTTTTGTTTCTTCTTGATTCATTCTTGAAATATTGTATGTTTCTAGAAATTTATCTATTTTTTTCAGTTACCCAATATGTTGGCATATAGTTGTTCATAATATTGTTTTATAATCCTTTGTATTTCTGTGGTGTCAGTTGTTACTTCTCTCCTTCATTCCTAATTATATTTATTAGGGTCCTCTCTCTTTTTCCTTTTTGAGTCTGGTTAAGTGTTTATCAATTTTGTTGATCTTTTCAAAGAAACATTTCTTTTTAAGACAAAATTTTATGATCTATTTGTTTTGTTTTAATATATCCATTTTCCCTGCAATTTTTTACAGAGTAAAATTGTGTACAATAAAAAAAAACTTAGCCTCCTTATTTCCTTCAGTTATTAGTAAGTCTGAGTGTAACATAATTGATGAATATAAGTTTTTAAGTCTGATGTCTCCAATTTTAAGCAATAAATTTAATTGAAAAGGCAATGTAGACTACCTTACATATTGATCAGATGGTCTCATGTAACAGATATGTTGAAGACACTTAAATGTAAATATTTACTATGTGATTTTGTATGATTTATCTTTATATCTCATACAATGATGTAAACTTGTGTCGAAATCTTATTCATTATTGGTTCCAGAGAAAAGTATTTTGCATCTATTATTTTAGTAGGAATGGGGAACCTTTTTTCTGCCAAGGGCCATTTGGATATTTATAACATCATTCACAGCCATACAAAATTATCAACTTAAAAATTAGCCTGCTATATTTGGTCAGACATTTAATTAACACCTCTAATGTTTTGGCAGGGCCAGACCAAATGATTTCTCAGGTCTTATACAGTCATAGGCCAGATGTTCTCCACCTCTGGTATAGAATAATAAAATAAGCACAAAGAGACAAAAGATATATGTTGAATAATTGGGGAACATAATAATAGGTGAAATTTAAATATAATGTGACAGCAGTTTTTATTTTCAGTAGTTTTTAAAACATTATTTATCTGTGCTCTTACAGTGGAAATATGTAAAAGGCCAATGGCGTTCTATTGTAATTAGCCCCCAAACTTCTTTTTTTTAATTAATATACTGGGATGACTTTTTAAAAATTAAATACCAATCTTCTTTTTAGGTTTGATCCAGACCGGTTTAATGATGAGTCAGTAATGAATACTTTCTCCTTGCTTGGATTCTCAGGCACACAGGAATGCCCAGAGTTAAGGTGAGATGATAAAGTGAAAGGAAAGGCGTCAGATATAATTAAAGTGTCATTGTTAATAGTAACCAGTCAACTTTCTTCCTGACTAGGTTTGCGTATATGGTGACCACAGTACTTCTGAGTGTATTGGTGAGGAGACTGCACCTGCTGCCTGTGGAGGGTCAAGTTATTGAAACTAAGTATGAACTGGTAACATCCTCCAAGGAAGAAGCTTGGATCACTGTCTCAAAGAGATAGTAAAAATTTTACATTACACTTTGGTGAGGAAAACGCCCACTTAGAAAATTTATATTGAATTCTTTTACAAACCAAGTAACATTGTGGAAAATAATACAGTTCTTTTTTTATGCATTTTGAAGTTTCCCTTCTAAGTGACACACTAAAATTGAGGCTTGTTTGTCCTTCTGTTTTGCTGGAATTCTTTTTTTAAAAATATTTTTTTATTTATTTTAAAGAGGAAAGAAGAGGGAGAGAGAGATAGAAACATCAATGATGAGAGAGAATCATTGATTGACTGCCTTCTGCATGATCGAGGATCGAGCAGGCAACCTGGGTATGTGCCTTGACTGGGAATCGAACTGTGACCTTCTGGTTCATAGGTCGACACTCAACCACTGAGGCACCATGGCCGGGCTGGAATTCTTATTAGCACTAAATTACTAATTCTCAATTGTGGAAAAAACAGAATTTCTAAATTTATTTATTATGTCATATACTTAACATAATGAATTTATTATTAAGAAATGAGAGAGCACTAACCAAAAACCAAACCAAATTGAGAAGAAAACAAAGATGGGTGAAAATAATTGCAAAATATAGGATAGAAAGGGATAATAACTATATTACTTATAAAGAGCTTATACAGATTGGTAAGAAAACATACTATTGATAAATGGATAAAAAACATGAATAGCAGCTTTTATAGGAAAAAATAGCTAATAAACTTTTAGAAAAATGGTCAGTCTCACTAAGCAAAGAAATATTGGAGCTTTTTCAAAAACAAATTAAGTATCTTTTAACATTAACACTTTAGTACTGATAAGTTTTATATTTAATACTTTTTATTGATAGCATTGTATTTAATCCACTTTTTTTGTTTATGCTGTTCTTAAAGACTTTTTAAAACGCATTTTTCCTTCAGTCAACTGAAGGAAATATGCCAAGTACAGTTAGCGAGAAAGGAAGAAAAATGAAAAGTGTTGAAGGTGAGCTTATTTTTGACACTCCTGAATTTCATTTGTAAATTTAGTTCCAAGAATGTACCCTAGTTATTATTATTTTATGCTGTGTTTATGGTTAAATAGCTAACATTTTAGACCTAGTTATGAGTGATGAACGTAGAATTTAATTAGATGCAGGCTTTATTTCTGACAAAACATTTAACTTCTAGACTAATTTAAATTTTAAAACTTTCAGTCAAATTTTAAAACTGTAAGTATTCATAGCTCCTAGCACCATGTTTCTAAAAAAAATAAATTGTTAAATTTATTCCCACCCCACCTGTCATCTTCTATGGCTTTGTGTAGGTAGCACATCTTCCTTTGTTGTCCAAGTACCTTAATTGGTTTGGAAACTAGCAATAAAAGGTAAGAGTGGGCAATTGATATGTAAACCAAGTGTCAGTAAAATTAGATGAGATAAATGTAATTTTTTTTAATCCTCACTCGAGGATATTTTTCCATTGATTTTTAGAGAACGTGGTAGAGAGAGGGGAAAGACAGAGAGAAATATCGAAGTGAGAGAAACACATCGAATGGTTTCCTCCTGCACATGCCCTTGACCAGAATCAAACTCTGGACCCTTGGGTCCGCCCGCAGGCCAACACTCTGTCTACTGAACCAAATCGGTTAGGGTGATAAGTGGAAATTTAAAGTAAGTGAGACCTGATCAGCAATGATCAAGGCAAAAACAGAGTAGCTGAACTAGAGTCAGGAGTAGGCATATACCCAATAAATGAGGACCTATATAATTACTAATAATGATTGAAATCAAGGAAAATAGAGGCTAGAAGTATCAGCTAAATAAGCACATGTTATTTATAGCTACATGACTAACTTAAAACATTAAAAAATCATCTTCAAGAGGATTAAAACAATAAAAATGTTAATCATGTATAAAATAAGTTGTCCATTAACTGTTGTTCTTATTTTGCCCTTTATCAAATGACTGAAACTTTCGTAGCCACAGTGTCACTGATGGCTCATAGCATAACTCTTGCAGGCCTCTTAAGTTTTGTAGCTTTTTGTTTTTTTTAAAACTATTTGTTCACTGATTGTGATCTGCATTTTTTTTTTTTTTGCATTCTTTTTGATAGTTCAGAAGTGTATTGTTCAAGACATTAGCACAACACATTTTTATGGAATGGGAGAGCTCTTCCACACTTTGTGCTCATAACATTCAATATAGCATTAGTTCTGTGCATGTGTTTGGGAAAAATGGAAAACTCACATGATGTTTATTTGGCCCACAAATGTGCAGCTTCTTTTATTTTTTAAATAAATAGATTCTATTTTATTTATAGACCCAATGTCAAAATTTATTTTTCTTTATCTTGAAAAAGTTTATATTTTAAAAACAACATGTTCTGTTTGTTTTTTTTTAATATGTTTTTATTGATTTTAGAGAGGAATAGAGAGAGAAAAAAATATCAATTCTAGAGAAACCTCAATCAACTGCCTCCTTCATGCCCCTCCCTGGGAATTGAGCCCGAAACCTGGGCATGTGCCCTGACCAAGAATTGAAATGGTGACCTCTGGGGGTCAGGGGGTTAAGAGGTCAACCAAAGGACTTGTATGCATGCATATAAGCATAAACCATGGACACAGACAGTAGGGGGTTGAGGGCATGTGCTGGGGGTGGGAATGGGTGGGGAGAGGTCAATGGGAGACAAAGGAGACATGTAATACTTTAAACAATAAAGGTTTAAATTTAAAAAAAAAGAAAAGAAAAAGGCAAATCACACATAACAGAAAAAAAAAAAAAAGAAACAGTGACCTCTTGGTGCATGGGACCAACTGAGCCACACTGGCCTGGCAGAATGTTCTGTTTTTTTATTATGAAAACTAGAGGCCCGGTGCATAAAATTTGTGCATGGGTGCATGGGTAGGGATTCCCTAGGCCTGGCTGGCGATCAGGGTCAATCTGTGAGGTGACTGGCGGGGCAATCGGGGGGGTCCATGCTGGCACCCGCCTTGGCTTGCCTGGCGCCACCTGCTCTCTGGCCCTGCCGCCGCCGCTGGTTACCTCCCTCTGTGGGGTGACCAGGGGGCCCCTGCTGACTGGCCTGGGGCCTGTGGGCAGGGGGCAGCTCCTGCGTGGAGCGTTTGCCCCCTGGTGGTCAGTGCGTGTCATAGTGACCAGTCATTCTGCTGTTCGGTCAATTTGCATATTAGGCTTTTATTATATAGGACTAGAGGCCCAGTGCACAAAATTTGTGCAAGAGTAGGCCTTCCTTTCCCCAGCTTCCGGCATCGACTTCCCTCTGGCACCTGGGACCTGGGCTTTGCTCCGGCCGCCAGCAGGCACCTAGGACCCTGGCTTCCCTCGCAGCCCTGGCTTCATCCAGAAGGACATCTGGTCTAATTAGCATATTAGATTATTTCTATATATTATTTCTATAATATATTTCTATATATTATTATAGATTATTTCTATTTGTTGTAGAAAAATCTAGGAAATACAGAAACACAAAAATAGCAAACTCAGTCAGTGGTAGTCCTACTACTTGAAGTTAGCCAGTGTTAAGTTTATGAGGTAGATCCTTCTACTCTCTTTTGTATCCACATATTTCTACAGACATATCTACTGTTCTCTTCATTTAGTTATTGTGAACAATAGCATTTCCAACAATTGGAATATTAGTATTCTTTTTTTTTTCAGGTTTTTTTTTATATTTTATTGATTTTTTTTTACAGAGAGGAAGGGAGAGGGATAGAGAGTTAGAAACATCAATGAGAAACATCGATCAGCTGCCTCCTGCACACCCGCTACTAGGGATGAGCCCACAACCAAGGTACATGCCCTTGACTGGAATCAAACCCGGGACCTTTCAATCCGCAGGCCGATGCTCTATCCACTGAGCCAAACCGGCTAGGGCGGAATATTAGTATTCTTTTCACACAGAATGTAAGCACAGATTTTTGGCACGCTTACTTTTCTGCTCAGATATTCTTTTTATTCTTTCCAACTTTAAAAATATTCTTTCTTCTCCATCCATTCTAACAAAACAGTTATATATTTGTACATCTAAGTTGCTAAAGTCATAGAACAATGTAAAATGAACAGTTGTTGGCCCCAGCTGGTTGCTCAGTGGTTAGAGTGTCAGTCCACAGACCAAAGGGTCAAAGGTTCCATTCCTGATCAAGGGCATGTACCTCGGTCGCAGGTCCCCCAGCCCTGGTAGGAGTGCAGGTGGGAAGCAACCAATCAATGTGTCTCTCTTGCAATGATGTTCCTCGCTCACTCTCCCACCCTTCCACTCTCTCTATAAATCAATGGAAAAAATATGCTCAGGTGAGGATTTAAAAAAAAATGAAATTACTATGTTGTCCTAAGGAAAAGTTCAAATGAGAAGGCATTTCATCTTTTAAGAGGAAATCATAAGCATCTTTGTTACTGTTTTTGGGCTCGGGCAAACAGGTTAAGATTCTTCTCTGAAGATACCTTTATTTTTTCCCCCCAAATTCATAAAAAGCACTGTTAACCTCTAACGTTTTTTTAACATGTGATTATGTTGACAGATTGAAAACTGCTTAAAAACACAATTCTATCATGTGCAGAACTGAGGACATGACCAGTAGCAGCACCAAGGAGTAGTCTAGCAGTTGTGAGAAGATAACTGTGAGAAAAGGACACTATTTTCAAGGGCAAGTTTTTATAATGTCAACAGATTGATACCAGTGGCCTCATTTTTCTTTCTTTGTAGCTAGTCCTCTGCCTGTTTCCTAAGTTTCTAATCAGTGAATGATTAAGGTAGAAGGGGAGGAGTTGGGAGAGAGGATATGACAACAAAGCAGTTACTGTTACTACAGAAGTCAGAGGAAATCAACACAGCCAAAAGGCTTCTTACAATGTTGCTTTGAAAGGTTGGGAGTGACCTGCAGTGATTAAAAGGAGTGAGACTGAAACTTGGATTAATAGTTAAGCTGAAAGTAGAACAGGGGACTGGAAGGGCATTTGTTACAAACCAAATACTTTATATACCTATCTCATTTAGTCCTTGGGGCATAACATTCGGTTCAGTGACAAACTAAAATAGTTTTTCATTCATGCTAGAAGAAATACTATAAAGGAAGACTGGGGGAAACTAGCTAAAAAATGAAGTAAGAGATCTAAACTTCAACTTAATATCTTCAGTGGGGTTTATTGGTGTATTTGTTATTATTTAAAAGGGAATCAAGGAATAGTTTTAAATGATGTACTATTCATAATAACTAAAGAAAATGATTAAACCCTGGCAGGGTAGCTCAGTTGGTTAGAGCACGGTCCCAAAGCCAGTATTGTGGGTTGAACACTAGTCAGGGTACATACAAGAAGCAACCAATGATTACATAAATAAGTGGAACAACAAATCAATCTCTCTCTCTCCCCCCCTCTCCCTCTTTCCCTCTCTCTCCCTCTCTCTCTCTCTCTCTCTCTCTCTCTCTCTCTCTCTCTCCTCCCTTCTCTTGCTCTATAATCAATAAATTAATTTTTAAAATTTTTTAGAAGAAAATGATTAAAAGAGTACTGTAACAGCAGTATTAAAATAAATCATTAAAAAAAAACACAAAAAAACTAATGCTGCCCTAGCTGGTTTGGCTTGGTGGATAGAGCATCGCCCTGTGGACTAAAGGGTACCTGGTTCAATTCCAGTCAAGTGCATAGGCCCAGGTTGTGGGTTCAATCCCCAGTAGGGGGCATGCAGGAGGCAGCCGATCAGTGATTCTCTCTCATCATTAATGTTTCTATCTCTCCCTCCGTTCCTCTATGAAATCAATAAAAATATATTTTTAAAAAACTAATGCTGCAAACTCAACCAAACTGTTTAAATTTTTTCCTGTTTACACATACATATTTTTACCTATTGCAATTATAACAATATGGTTTACTTTTCACTTAATGAATTTTAAACATTTTCCTTTCTTACTTTTGCAAGGGCTTCAAGGAATAGATAGATGTTTTGAGGGGGGGGGGGTGAATAAACTTTTAAAATAGAAATCAAGTTAGTGTTTAATTTATAAAATTTTATGACTGAATGAATGGATAATTGTAAAATTTGAGTTGGGAACCATTTTGTAAAACATCCAGGCAATAAACAAAAGGCAGGAAATGACATTCCTTATTCCAGTAGCATTCCCCAAATAATTGGTTTACAGTTTTGTGGCCATGTTTCTAGAGATTGGGAACGGATCTTGTTAGAACCTGTGATAAAATGCCATGAGCAAATAAGTCACAAATATATCCTGTTGAGTAATTTTAAAAGATACACATTTATTTACATCTAAAATACTTGC